ACTATAGTCTTCGTTGTCATGACTATAGTCTTCATAGTCTTTAATATAGTCTTAATAGTCTTTACTATAGACTTCGTAGTCATGACTATAGTCTTTCATAGTCAGGACTATAGTCTTTCATAGTCAGGACTATAGTCTTTCATATAGTCAGGGCTATAGTCTTTCATAGTCAGGACTATATTCTTTCATAGTGAGGACTATAGTCTTTCATAGTCAGGACTATATTCTTTCATAGTGAGGACTATAGTCTTTCATAGTCACGACTATAGTCTTCCATAGTCACGACTATAGTCTTTCATAGTCACGACTATAGTCTTTCATAGTCACGACTATAGTCTTTCATAGTCAGGACTATAGTCTTTCATATAGTCAGGACTATAGTCTTTCATAGTCGGGACTATATTCTTTCATAGTGAGGACTATATTATAGTCTTTCATAGTCTTTACAATAGTCTTCATAGTCGTGACAATAACCAACGGGATAAATACACCTCTTCACTCTTGCTTTAAATCATTTTACACTGACTCTTGAGAAGTAAACATGTCTTATGAATGCGACATCTGCGGTAAAACGTTTGCAAATGCCAGTAATCTCCTTCGCCACAAGAAGGTTGTCCATGCATATGGAACTCGTAATCTTGGGCAGCAAACTCTCACGGTGAATGGGGTTACAGTCATGCAGCATCCCTTTACAAGCATCGTTGCAGGATGTACCCAAAGCGGCAAAACCGTATTGGTCAAATCTCTCTTGGAGAATGCTCAAACGACTATTAGTCCTACTCCTCAACGTATCATTTGGTGTTATGGTCAATGGCAATCGTCCTATTTTGATATGATGAGGATAATGCCTGGAATCGAGTTTAATGAAGGCATCCCCGACGATATCGACAATGCGGATTACTTGGACGTATCGCAACCGGAATTTGATCGTATTGGATGATCTTATGGTTCAACCTGGCAAAGATAAACGTATTTCTGATCTTTTTACGAAAGGAAGTCATCATCGAAATTTGTCTGTCATCTATATTGTCCAAAATATATTTCATCAGGGCAAAGAAATGAGAAATATTAGTCTAAACGCGCATTATATCGTATTGTTCAAGTCACCAAGAGATAAACAACAAATTTCTATACTTGCAAGGCAAATAAATCCGGCAAAGTACAAGAGTTTATGAGGAGTTATGAAGACGCTACGAGCCGGCCTCACGGATATTTTATGTTGGGTTTAATGCCGACAACGAGTGACCAAGATCGACTCAAGACAAACGTACTTCCCGGCGAGATTGCAAAGTTTTTACACAAACAGTCGTATCGTCAACCACCATTGGCAAACGCAATGTATGATGCCGAACAGAGAATGAAAGATATCATCGATGCACCACAGCTTAGCGCAGTGAAAAAAAGCAAATTATACTCTGATCAACTAAATCGGTTTTTGACATTCAAAAATAAGATGGATGTTCCGACTCAAGCTCCTGCTCAGACAACTCCATTCGTGCCTGTAGAGATGCCACAACCCAATGAATCTGTCGAGATAGCACCACCAGTGCCTGCTACCCCTAAACCTAATTTCCTTACACCACCGCCAACAGAAGAGGAACGGCCAAAACTCAAGCGCCACTTTTTCCACAATTGGGTAGACTCTACAGATTGGAGGCCCCAAGATTTGGCAATGATGACCCCTGAACAAAGAGAAGGTTACGAACAAAGATTACTTCGCGAGAGGCCGAAATATATTCCAATGAACAATGAAGATGTTGCAAGGTTATCCCCAGAAGATAGACAAGAATATGAAAACTCTTTAAAAATAACAAAAGCTCCTAGACGTTATGCTCTTAGAAGTAGACCGTACTAAATTTTGTAAAACGTTTTGAAGAAATAAATGTATTTAAAAACTGAAATATTGTGTATTTTTTGCCGGCAAAGCCCGCTCTTTTCGCCCGCGCGATCCGCCCGCCTGATTAGTGTACAAATATGTTGTACGTTAATATATGCATGCACGCAAGCGTCGCTGATGACTTAGCAACACATAACAACGTATATAACGATTACATGTTTTTATTGCAAAATATATTACAACTGTTCCAATTCTAACTTATACTCTTAATAAGCTTACTTATGATCTGACTCGGTCATCTTAACAGTATATATGTATGTAGAATATTTGCTAAAATAACGTTGAACAACATGTAAATATTGACCTTATCAACGACGTTGACAACTCGGGATTAGGAACTGTTTAGTTTAAAATATGTCTTGATTTTTGTGACGAATAGATTCCTTGTTTGCCCTCGTTCGTTTTCGTTCATCATGAGGCAGTCATGTTGTCTTTGACTAGGATGACCGACTTGACAACCATTACACACAAAGTCTTTCAACTTTTGGCTGCAAAGCGCTCCTGTCTTGTCTAAATCGCTTTCTCTCTTCCCGCAAGGATGACCCGCGACGCGCGAGCAATGAATATCCTAATCCACCCGTATTTATCCACACAGTAGAAAAATGCAAATCTCTGACAAAAGTTAATCCCTTAATTAGTGTCACCCTAACAACACATAGCAACCGGTGTGCTTTAATATAGCTTAAATTTATTAACCTTATCCGAGTTTTAGTACTTTAAAAACTACCAATAAAATATAGAAATCGCTTGACAATTATATATCATAACATCTAATTTCCATGTGTTTATATAACCCTAGACAGCAACATATTCTCTCGTATATAGACCTCATATGCCGGGCCGACCGGGATTTAAATATTAGTTTAATTGTAGATACATAATAACTCTTACCGCATGCTATTTCTCAGCGTTTTGACGCTTGATAATATTTATATATTACTTAACAACAAAACATATAGCTGTATACCCCGAATATATAAGTTTTAGATATATAACACTAATGCTATTTCATATAGTATCAGATTTTTTACTCTACTAGGAGCTAAATTAAAGGAATCACTTGACAATAACAGCAAAATGCTAGAGCTGTACTTATAAAACTCCAGACAACAACATATTCTCTTGTATATAGCTCTAACTATTGTATCTTATTTTTCACCCTGCTCGGTTTCCTTTGTTCTTGTCGGGGAATATATTCAATATTCCACTCTAATCAATTTCCGTTTAATAATCCCCTCTAATATTCACCTGCAATTAATAATCCCCTTTAATATTCACCTGCAATGTCTTTGCAGCGCAAAAAATGAGAAAAAAACAACATAACTTTGAGGCACCTCGGGGATATGTGTTTATTCAAATAAATCACATATCCCCTCGTTGCCTCAAAATAACCTATACATACACGTGGGGGACGCTAAAAATGCGTAGTCAGCAAGTTTCGCCCGATCGTGTTTAAGCTCGCCGGCGGGACGTCATTGCATATAATTAGGACGTATGTTAATGAGTGACGTCATTACGCACCCGCATTCCTCCTCACTCCTCCTCTTCCACCACACTCGAATTATGACGTATGTTAATGAGTAACGTCATTACTACTCCTCACTCCTCCTCACTCCTCCTCCTCATTCCTCCACCACACTCCAATTATGACGTATGTTAATGAGTGACGTCATTACTCCTCCTCACTCCTCCGCACTCCTCCTCTTCACTCCTCCACCACACTCCACCACCTCCACCACCGCAAAAATCCGGGTCGAACGGCCCCTATATTACTACTGATTTTGTAAATTTTAAAAGGTTTCTCAAAAACAAAGGGCGAAAAATTCGGTTAAAAGAAGAAAGCCGACGTCAACGAAGGTAAGTTTGTTTTAAATATTGATTTTATAATTGCTTGAAAACCCGACTGCCTTTTGGTATATGAAACAACTAAACAAGACAGCATATAATTTCAGTGTACCTTCAATATTGATTCCCTTTTTTATTATATTGAATTTTATAAATAAAAAAGAACGCAAAGTTATTTGCATGCGAAAATTTGAAATCATTTTATTGCAAACTCAAATTTTTTCGATAAACCCATTTAATTAATGGCAGCTTAGTTTTATAAACAGCACTTTAAAACGTTTTGCGAAGCGTTTGTGGTTGAATTTTACCTTTATTTCGAGCTTAGATTAGGTATAATAACATACCAAAAAAGTTATATTTTTAGGCAATTTTTCATTTGTAACAATATTCTTAAAAAATTATCGTGTTACCATGACAACTACTTAAGACACTTCATGTTCAGAAAATAAAATACATTGGTTTGGTCAGCAAAGCGGGGGTTTCTGCATGCATGTATTTTCTAGAAAAGAACCGAAATTGTTAATCTCTTTTATTAGGGTACCGGTACAGTTACTTATAATTGGCCGCTTGAATTACAACTAACAATAACAAAACAATACGAACGTTAATAAACACATGTTAATATGTACGGGAGGATAAATAAAGATACACGAGAGGATAAAAAGCGTGTGTTTTGAAGCAATCTTCTGTTACACAAGATCACCTAAAAGAACAAGCTCCGCAGCTCCCAGCGTGTCTAGTAAGCGAAGAACCACCCTTCTCTAATACCGGTGTAGATTTCGCTGGTCCAGTTTACGTAAAAAAATCGTTTGGAGCAATTAACAGCAACGAATATGACAAAGTATACATAGCTCTCTTTACCTGTGCATCTACGAGGGCTTTGCATTTAGAACTGTTAGAAAACATGTCAGGAGGTACCTGTCTTCGCGCGTTTGGACGTTTTTCAAGTCGTAGAGGACTGCCAACGAAGGTCTTGACGGATAATGCAAAAACATTTAAGTCGGCATCGAAAGAAGTGAGGATGATTGGAGAATCGAAAGAAGTAAATCGTTATTTTGTCAATAGAAGAATAACACGGGAGTTTAATAACTGAGAAAGCTCCATTGCACGGTTGATTCTGGGAGAGGATGGTGCGAAGCTAAGTGTTAAACGTTGTCAGGGAATATCGTACGCACTGACACCATCGCATTTGATCTACGGACGACAAATTTCAAGCGCTCCAAATGACGAGCATTACGAGATTATTAGCGCAAATCAGTCTCTCACCAAGCGTTTTAAACCAGTTTATCAAACAATGGAGAAAAGGATACTTGTTGAGTTTAAGAGAATCATCCAAATCGATTCGACCAAACAGCAATGTGCAAATAGCAATTTTACGGAATGACAATACACGACGCACGTTTTGGAATTTGGCAAAAGTGGAAATGTTGCTTCCCAGTAGCGATGGTACAGTGCCCTCAGCTAAAGTTATTGTTAACGGTGAAAACGGTAAACGGATCACATTACGGCGACCAATACAGCATTTGATAGCCCTCGAAGTAAAGGCTAGTGCGACGGATGACAGCTGTTTCCAGAGCCGTGCGGATCATCAGAACACAGAAATAAAAGATAACGTCCAACAACAAAGACGAACACCGAGACGTAAGGCAGCTGTAATTGGTGAAATCGTAAGAAGACAACTTAGTTCGTGATGGACGTTGACACGCACATTGATTAACGTTAACATTAATTTAGTATTAGTTTAATTGATCAATTTTATTGGTCAACCTCGGGAGTGTTGTGAATGGTTAATTTGTTGCCGCTATATTTGTCATAGCGAACAATATGTCAGACATGCGGAAACGAGACGCTTTTGTTGGTTTCATAAATCGAATCGAAAAACACGTTTATAACGACTTTCGACTTATATTTTAAAGTTTATAGTTTAGAAATAAAATTTATATTACATTTAACTGCGACGTGCAGTACACCGGACATTGGAACACTTAATCGTTGCCAGGGGCGGATCTAGGGTAATTCCAATCAGTCGCGTGAATGACGTATTTTTTGCAAAGAAATAATTAATTTATTATTTCGAAATTTGAATAATTAATTCCAGAATATAATATGAAATTTCATATCATAGTCCAGTATACGTCTTTACGAGCTCAGTTTTGAATAAATATATGCTTTATCTAGAGCAGCGGTAAAACGCAGGAATCTCGCAGAATCGGGAGGTCGTTATGCTCATTTGATTGGTCGAGAGATCATTTGGACTTATCTCGACTGATCTGTGGGGTGGCAGGACTGATTTGCACTTTAAGGGAGTTTTTATCCGTCCATTTCCTTCATTTTGATTGGTCAATTTGAAATTATTGACAATTTCTATTGGTTCATTTTTTTGGACTGATTCGGACTTATTCGCGGCAGGGGATATCAGTCCTTGAAAACTGGGAAATTCATGTAAAGCAGTCTTTCATATTCCCGTATATGAATGTTTTTCATAGTTGGGAGAATTATTTTACGATGTCGAGTATTTATATGTACGCGGCCGATTTTACGAGACGATTTAATTTAACGGCCTTTAATAAACTTGAATTGTCTCTGAATGAGGATATATTATTGTGGGGCAGGTAAGACATCAAGCGAGCAGCTTTTATAATGTTGTTCTGTTCAACAACGAGAAGGCACTAAGTTGGGACTTCTCTGCTACGTGCTTCACAATAAATCACAAAGTCGTAATTTGGTCATGGTCGTAATTTGGGTGGTAAAGCCTCATGGTCGTAATTTGGGTGGTAAAGCCAAAGGGAAAGTGTGCACTGCTATAATGTATGAAAATATCCAAGATTATGAAACAGAAATGAATATATTGCAATGTATCTTGTATGATAAATATAGCTATACAAGTTGAAGTATGATATTCGACCCTCTATATTCGACTATTTCTTCACAATTTTCCAATAAAGAGTTTGTCATGACAAGCTCAAGTCAGTATAACCAGACTGTATTTTATTTATATCAGTTATCACAGCCACAGGCAATTTTATGCTGTCAAATACCGTCGGTTGCAACTAAGGGTGAACAGTTGCAGATAAAACATTCTCTATTCTCATTAAAAAGCCTGTAAAAGTTTCCAGTAGGTCTCTAGTCCAACACGTTCAGACCACACAAAGTTTTGTTACTTATTATTGTACACGTGGGAAACAACCATTAGAACACGCGCCCGGACTAAGTGTGTAATTGTCGCTAGCAATGTGATATGGGATGGGTCAAAGCTTCATTTGCTATGATTGGCTAATGACTCTGCAGTTTCCGTGGCAACAGAAGTAGTTTCCTGTTTCACATACGCTTGTCGTCGCGAACATTTTGCCCTTCGGGCAAATAAACTCTCGTGATTATTCAACTAAATTGACTGTAGGTATTTGCGTGAGGCGACTTACCTATTAAAACATTTTCCCATTGGCTTAAACTCACTGTTCTTATTATTATTTCACTAAATGGTCAAAGAGCCGTATTTCCGTTAGACGCATTTTGCCCTTCGCTGTAACTGACTGTTGTTATTATTATTATTATGAAAATGAAAGGGCCGTATTTGCGTGAGACGACGCATTTTGCCGTTCGCTCAAACTAACTGTTGTTATTGGGATTATTGAACTAAACTATCACAAGGCCGTATTTGCGTGACACAGTCATGCCCTTCGCTCAAACTGACTCTTGTTATTATTGTCATTATTATTATTATTTAACAAAATGGTCAAAAGGCCGTATTTGCGTGAGATGCATTCTGCCTTCGCTTAAACTGACTGTTGTTATTGTTATTATTATTAATATTTAACAGAATTGTGTATAGTCCGTATCTGCTCGAGACGCATTTTCCCCTTATACGAGTTCATTGGCGAAGTAATTTTTAAAATAAACTTTGTCTAAACCGAGAAAATCAAAGCTAAAGTTTATGTAAATTAACATGATTTTTTATCACTTTTAAAACCACGACACGCTTATGATTTTTCTTTGTGTTTTGCTCGATCCTGAATTATTAATGAGTTTTTTAATATTATTTAACTAAACGGACTATATGAATTCAAATACACAGAAATATAGAATAGAAAGCAGCAAATAGAGAAATTATGTGAGGCGATAGCAACAACAACACGCAATGCACGCTAGAATATCTACCTCAGAATGTGAGGTAGATATCCCATGAAACCACGGGCGTAAAATTACACACTTAGTCCGGGTTCATCCTGTCATGAATTAAGTGTTGTTGTTCTTGACAAACATTGAAGATTCTAATCACGCGAATGTTCTTTATGAGCGACTGTTCATCGTTAGTTCCAAGCGACGGTACAACATACTATGAACATTTTTCCGACAGTGACCGAATGTGCAACGATATATTTTTCATGAAAGTTGTTATCAATTCCTAAAATTTGTTTATAGTAAAACGGCCTGCTCAGCACTCACTACTCACGATGATTTCATTTAGAAATGCAGTTATCAGGAAGGGAACTGATTCTAAAATATGTAAATTTAAAAGCATTGGCTAACAGAATAAAGCGACGTGAAGACAAGGCACAAACTTTTATAGTTGCTATTTGTTATAAAATCCTATAAATAAACCGATTCAACAATAATTTTGCCTCGAATTTGTATATTCTATGCTGCATGTTTATATTTTATTTTTATAGTATAAAAATAAAATTGTAATACTATGAAATAAAATACATTTCTGTTTATTGACCAGTACTTATTTAATGTCTTCTTCATCCAGTGGTCAGAGTAAATTTCTACTTTTAGCAAGTAAATATTTGACAAGCAGTCTGGATTAAGCACAGAACTTTTAATGCATCAGCCAAATCCAAGTGTGCCCATCCCCCTCGCCCAGCCATTTTCCTGTAAAGCACATCCCGGGGGTTGGGCATTTCCACTCGAACCTTAGCCCCGGCGGGGCATTTGAAATTAATAATTTGGAATTAATATTAGAATGTTAGGGCGAACCTTAGCCCCGGCGGGGCATTTGAAATTAATAATTTGGAATTAATATTAGAATGTTAGGGTTTGTAATCCAAGTGAGAATATATACATGTATATATTTGTAATCCAAGTGAGAATATACACATGTATAGTACATGATTTTGTAATCCAAGTGAGAATATTCTGTAATCCAAGTGAGAATATACACATGTATAGTACATGTATATATTTTGTGTATATATTTTGTAATCCAAATGAGAATACTTTGTAATCCAAGTGAGAATTTTCAAATGTATATTTTCTTACTTGGATTACAAACCCGAACATTCTAATTTTAATTCCACCAAGTGAAATGCAAGAATCCAAATTATTGAAGTCCACCTTATCACAACCCGCACACCCGATTATTACCATTTGCGTTCAAGCTTGCGGCGTGCAGTTTCAAAACGTACGTTTTACGTTTCAAAACGTACGTTTGGCGTTTCGAAACGTATGTTTTGCCACGCCCCATGTCATGTTTTGTCAATGAAACTGACATGTTATGTAAAAACCTTTAGCAAAGCATGCCCATTCGAAGCGCCACCGAAGCATGTCAGTTTCACTGCCCAAACATGACATAGGGCGTGGGAAAACGTACGTTTTGAAACGCCAAACGTACGTTTTGAAACGTAAAACGTACGTTTTGAAACTGCACGCCGCAAGCTTGAACGCAAATGGTAATACCTAAATATACATGAACTTACGGTTAAAGCCCAACAGCTGGCCGAGCTGTAGCTCAGTTGGTTAGAGCGCTGCACCGGAATCGCAGGGCCGCAGATTCAATTCCTACCAGAGGACCTTGTGCTGCATTTTTCGCAGTCGTTTCTTGTTAGGTCTTAAAATGTATATATTCTCATTTGGATTACAAACCCTAACATTCTAATATTAATTCCAACAAGTGAAGTGCAAGAATCCAAATTATTGAAGTCCACCTTATCACAACCCGCACACCCGATTACCTAAATATACATAAACTTACGGTTAAAGCTCAACAGCTGGCCTCTGTAGCTCAGTTGTTTAGAGCGCTGCACCGGAATCGCGGGGCCGTAGGTTCAATTCCTACCACAGGACCTTAATTGTGCTGCATTTTTCGCAGTCGTTCCTGGTTAGGTCTTAAAATGTATATATTCTCACTTGAATTACAAACCCTAACATTCTAATATTAAGTCCACCAAGTGAAGTGCAAGAATCCAAATGATTGAAGTCCACCTTTCATAACCCGCACACCCGATTACTTAAATATACATGAACTTACGGTTAAAGCTCAACAGCTGGCCTCTGTAGCTCAGTTGGTTAGAGCGCTGCACCGGAATCGCAGGGCCTAGGTTCAATTCCTATCGGAGGACCTTGTGCTGCATTTTTCGCAGTCGTTCCTGGTTAGGTCTTAAAATGTATATATTCTCACTTGGATTACAAACCCTAACATTCTAACATTTGAAATTAAGGATTTGGAGATTTTGCGATCACTGATAACTTGATAATAATATAAAACAAAACACTTCTATCTGCAACTTTTACAATCACTGATAACTTGATAATAATTTAAACCAGTCAAGTTGTAGTTTAAATAGAGAATAATACATGGGTGCATGAGATACCAGATTTATTTCGAGTGTTGAACATGAGTGTGCAGCGAACAAGTGAGCGCAGCAACGAGTGAGATGTCATGTTCAAC